AAAGATATTTCAAAATAGTTTGCTTAATTTCTCTTTCATCAAACTATTCTTGATATTTTCATGCTCTAATTTTCTGGTGTTTATTAAGAGCATATAAGCAATGTAAACAAGATGATAATCTATAACCTCATTTTAAAACTAGATTAATAACCTCAAAATTACCAAATACAAGACTACATGCATTACAATCTGTAATAATGTTCACTGTGCAGAAAGAAAAAGTTACACAAAGAAAAGGAGATACATCTGAAGCCCACACTATGCGCGTTGGGTGCATATTGAGCATTATCAACATTCATGTAGAAACTGTGCAAAGTGAAAAATATTGGCGGAATTTCCTGTTTCGTTTTACAAAACGCAATTCAACAGAAATTTTGACAAAAAAGTTACAAAATTTAAACTTCAGTGAAAGATAGCGTAAAACAGTGCATCACAGAACAAAAAATAAAAAACAAAGTTCATAACACTGCCAAATTTAAAAGAAAAAGTGTCTATTTATTATAGAATAATCAAATCATAAAACAATAGAGCGCTCGACTCGCAACCCGCGGATCGCGAAATCGAATCCCGTCACCGAACATGTTTGCCCTCTTAGCGATGGAGGCGTTAAACAGAGGGTCAATCCCACTCTTCGTTGGTGAAAGAGTAGCCAGGAGTTGCCTTTGGGTTGTGTTGACTAGCAGCCTTCCGTCTAGTCTATCACTTCAAAATTAGGGATGGCTAGCGCTGATAGCACTTGAGTAGTTTTGCGCGAAATTCAAAAACACACAAACCAATAATGATAAATCGTTAGTTTGCCACTTTATTTGCTACGTTTTTGTTTCAACAAGTCTGTGTGTGTGTGTGATAACTTCCCGTTATATGTTTTATATGTATGCTTGAGATCGATCACATAAAGATGAAATAGCCACTGAATACATCTCCAGAGATGATAACTACAAAATGTAAAAGGTAGATACGCTCCTGATAACTTCCGTAGAGCTCCTATAACAAACAATAGCTCAGGTTACTTGCGTTAAACTATATCTCAGATACATGCAAGTTTAACCCATTTAGGCTTACCATTATCTGTAACAAAGTTATTTCAACAAACTGCTGCCGTGTTTTCAGTGTAATGCCGTTAAACCTTTATTTCTTACAGTTAACTACAAATATGCAAAACGCATCTAACGTAGCTGATACTTCGTGCAGTCTATCGTTGAAACGTTTATTGCGAAAAAAAATTAATATTAAATACAGAACGACTAAACCTTATAGATTTCTGAAGAAATAATTAATTTAAGTTAGGCTGATTTTTTGCGTGGTATCGACATAGCTTTGAAAGTGACGAAACGCCCCTTTTTTTTAAAAAAAAAGATTTTAATTAATTTTAGTTAGTGATAATTTTCCTTACTTATTAGGTTCATTGAAGTTGTACTATTGATTTCTACTTGTATAATAAGTTGTAAAATGATTTAAAATAATGCTTTTTTGGAAAACATTATTACTGTAACTCTAAATGTAAACGATCGTGATAAAATTAAGAATTGCATATCAATTTACGACAGATGTGGCAAAATAATATATTTTTTACTGCGGAGGTTTTTAATATCTTTCCTACCCATATAATTGCCTAAGAAGAATGTAAAATTATACAGGATACAGAAGAACGTTGGTCACACATGAGACTGTTATATATATAAATATATAATATTCAATGCGAAATTTTGGTCATTGAACTCAGTAGTTTATGAGCAAGGAAAAAATTATTAAAATTAACGAAAATGGATAAAGCTACAATGAAACATTTTAAAACACAAACTACAAAAAATTGATGAGAAACGTCGATAGAAAAAAGTATATATTGTTTCTTGTCAACGTAGCTGTACAATATTTGTAAATATGTTTAGAAATGAATAAAAACCGTATAACTCGAACACTTTTGAAAGGTGGACCTTTCTTATTCGGGGGCAAACCTTTCGAAAGCGCTCGGGTTACAGGGTTTTTATTGATCTCGATCAAGACTTCTTGAACCTATGTGTTTTTCTAACATCATGAATGTAAATATGTTTAAGTATTGTATTTTTCCAATATATTCTTCAACGCAATGATAATAATAATCCAACTTTCAAGGTGAGCATTAACACAATAAAATTAATTTATAATTCGTTTTTTGACGATACTTATTAAACTATTTTCTAGAAATTTTATGTTTAATTCAGTAGCTTCTCAGGTGTTCCACTGTCGTTTTTAATCCGGAAAAAGACATAAGAATTGAAGGAGGAGTTCTTCGTTGCTGCTGTTACTATTGGCAACACTATTTTAAAATGAAACTACGAATCAAAACTGCTTGTTTAGCAAGAACTTACCTCAGAGAAAACTCGTATTAAAACGTAAATTTGTAGCTATAACACATGGGATTTACAAGATGAACAAGCATATATATAAATACATATAGATAGATAGAGAGAGAGAGAGCTCTAAACGGTGTTAGGGAATCGCCATAACACACGCTATTCTACACCGATTATTTTTGAACTGCATAAAACTAGAAGAAAATGTGATAATACTTAGAATTTTTTAGTAAAATAGTGAAAAAATCGAAAAAATCTTATCAATCTGTTAAAAACCTCTAAATAAACCTACCTTTAAACACCTGCCGTTTTATTGTTCTCAGCTCCTAAAATTCTTTGTACAAGTAAAACAGAAAACATAACTCTGCCAGTAAATAAAGGTAGAGGATATGTTTAGCATTGTTATTTGGTATACTTTTGCAGATATAGTCTATATTTTGTTCTGCAACTTTAACCATATAATGTAATACTTTTTCGTCATATAAACATATACCATAAAAAAGTATTTTACATGTCATACTGAAAATAAGTTATAAAGTATTAAAATTATTCTTCTGTATAGTTTATCATAGAAATTAGTTTAAATGTTCTATGTATTCTGTAAACAAAACGCTTTCAACTGTTCAACATCTGGCTGGAGAAGGGAAATCGGTAATCCTCACACTACATTAACTGCAGTGATGCGTGTTTTGGTTCGGGAATCTCGATCGAAATAAATGTAATTATAAAAATATTTTGTTTATAATAATGTTTGCTATAACTACCAGACATTTATGACTATAGAGTAATAACGAAGTGATAAGGTCATTTCAAAAACACTATATAAATTACAGCGCGTGGCCTAGCGTTATGACTAAATTTTTGAAAACCTAAGGTGTGTTTGTGTGGGAAAATAAAATACATTAAACTTTTTAATAACTGTGTGGCCATTAACTAAGCAATTAAAATACAGGTGACTAAATAATTAAAGTACGGGTAAACTAAAAAGAATGTGCATATGTTTATACAAAACAATGATTTATTTCAAGATGTATCTGGAATTGTTAAGGCTGAATAACATTGAAACAGAAAAGTGGTATTAGACCATGCAGTACAATATTGAAAACTCAAAAGAAAATACCTGGTCAGAAATGAAAATGAAAAGATAAAAAAAGAAACAACAAAATACAGAAAATTTCTGAAAATGCGTTTATTTTTACACCCAACACTTAAATCGGTGTCGGTACATGTTGGCAAGTTGCACTGATTATATACACATAAGATGAAACAAAATAATTATTTCATTCTCAAAGTTACAAAGTAAATGAAACTTCTAATAGCTATCACAAGACAGGAAGTACACTTCAAAAATAACAAAGTACTTCATATTCACGTGACGAACATGCCATAACTAATAGAAATCAGCCTAACTGCAAACTGGATAAAACATGCAGTGAAAGTAAAACAAATCTGTGATCACTTATAACATGTACGTTCAACTTAATAAAAGCTTCCTATAGAAAAACAATTTCTGTGAGCATTCCAAAGAAATAGTTCATTGCTTACATAGGAAAAATTCATTAGTGAATTAATACTGGCAAAACTCAGTGCCGCTAACTGTTCATCCGTTTGTGTTGAAAGTTACAGTAAAATGGATATACTTGCTTGATTATGATAACATGATGGATACACAATGAATGTGGAATTTTAAGAACAAAGGTTTAGAACATAACCACTAGGCGTTAAAGTTTTCTGTTACATATTCTTTACATCTAGATAAGGGTTTCTAGTTGGAAATAGAAAGTCTCAGGTTATGTCTCATACAAAAATCATAAATATTCATAATTCCTTAAAAATCGAATCAACAACAACAAAAACTTATTTTCGTGTTAAAAAAGTATCACTGACCAAATATCACTTTAATATCAAACAGACGAATGGAAATGTAGCTAAAAAGAATGTTTTAATACATATGGAAACAGAATGAAAATATTCTTGAAATAAAATGATCTATTCTTCCAAAAATTAAAGAAAGGAAAACAACAATTTTTCTGATGAAAGTGTTAAAGGATAGAAATTACATTTAGTGATTTTCTGATTTCAACTACTCATATTACAATAGATATGTTTAAAGTCATTTAAGAAAGTCTCATAACAATTGTTAAATGCAATGATCTCCTAACCTGTAACTTACTCTTTTAAGCTTTAATACAATATACAAATTTATACTTAAATTTATATAAATATTTACAACATGCTCTCCCTTCACCACCACACTCCATAAACATCTCATAATAATAATATATATATATATGTATATATATATATATGGTGTATTTTACAAATGATAATTTAATTTAAAACAAGAGTTCTCTTCACTTGACAAACGTGCATAGAGACACAAATCAAAAACTTTAGGAACTGCTAACATTCAATTTTGTCCGATACTACAAAAATAGCATTCCGTTTCCTACCAACTAAATATGTAGAGGAACTTTTTTAACTGCCAATGTCTGATTAGTTACGTTAAGAACATAACGCTAATAAATACGATGAGGTTTTGGTGGAATTATATTTAAAGCAACTGCAAGAAAACAATATTTCAACAAGTGAGCTGCATAGTTGTCAACAGTACTAAAATGATACTTTTTGTTTCTAAAAACTCTCGTTTTCAAGGTTTTTTCCTACCTGTGTTGTACATGTTGGGTGAAATGACACTTCTTGGTGTTCCAGAGTAAAAGCTGGTCGGAACATTGCTGTACATAAATGGGAGTAAACCTGCAGCTCCTTCACTCGACGGAGATGTAACATCTGCTGTCTGACTGGTAGACATGGTGTTTGCAGTTGAAGGCATGGGATTTACTGTAGTTGTTGCGTCTACACCAGGAGGGCATGGATTCTTAGTTGTATGGGCAATAGTGTTGACATTTCCAGTTGATGATGAGCTGCATAACCCAGGTCCTTCCTCTTTAGTGATGATCTCTCCAGTCCTTGCTGAAGATTGAAGATGTTCTCCTGTCAAGGATGTCAGTGCTGACTGTCCAACATTAGGTATTCCTAATGCTGACACCTGTTGAACTCCCATCATCTGGAGATGTTGTACGAAATTTGTTTGTGCTGCTGTTTGTAGTAGTGGTCGGCTAGGAGAATTAACCCCAACAGCTGGTTTCACATTACTTGGTGTTAATGTCTCTCGCTGTTGTTGTGACTGTGTCAGGTTTGTTTCTGATGATCCATTTCCTGAGGTTGGGATATCTGAAGATGAGTGAGTACTATCCAGTAAATCGGTATGTTTTTTACCACTCTCAACCTCTGTCTTCAATTTTTCAATGTGTTGCTTAGAGAAAATATGGTCCTGAATACTCGTGTTTGAATACTTAAGATTGTACTTGACATTACAGACTTTACATTCCTCTGAAGGTTTGAAAGCTTCTAATTCTTGCCCATAAGTGTTGGCAAAAGCAAGTTTATATTTTTTCTCTTTAGCCCGTGCATTTTGAAACCACACCTGTACGACCCGTTTAGGAAGACCGATCTCATGACCTAATATTTCACATTCCGCCATTGAGGGAGTTTTATAGTCAAGAAAAACTGATTTCATGACTTTCAGTTGTAAAGTCGTCATCTGTGTTCGAAATCGTTTCTTAGAACCAGTAACATGTCGAGGTGTCATTTGGTTTTGAGCAATAGGGGAAGTCTGATTAAAATCGAAAGTAATGTCTTCTCCTTCTCTATCGGTAGATTCAGAGTAAGTTTCTGACCTTGCATCCTCAGCAATAACTACTAATTTAGATGAAGCCTCTTCGACACTCTTGTCACTGTGATTTGTCGGAATAGTGTCAGTCAGTCTTTCTGATTCAATGTTTAATTTGGGGGGTTTACTTAAATCTAAAGGGCAGTCTCCTGATTCTAAAATATCAATTTTTTTAAGTTGTTCTTTCTTTTCGGAAACAACTCCAATGTCCATTGTTTCAAAGTTTGATGGAGTTCCCAGTTCATCCAAATAATTTTTCAACTCATCCTCACAATACTTATTCATTGAGTTATGCATGACATCCGTAGATGAAGAAGGAAGACCATAGGGTGTAAAAGAAGGGTTTGGAAAGGGTAATCCTTGAAAAGCAGAATTGCTTTCTTTAGACTCTTCTTCAGCACTATTTCCACCATCAGTGTCAGTTTCACCATCGGGTAAGGCGTCGATATTAATGTCACCTTTGGTGTACTGGTCAGCATGTCTAGTGGCTAGATGTGACTCCAATGCTGACCTTGCCTTGAACAAGGCTCTGCAGAAAGGACACCTCTTATGAATCACCTGTTGGTGAGCTCGAAACTGGCCTTTCCTTTCTCTAGCACGAGTATTCTGAAACCATACTTGTACAACTCTTTTTTTCAGACCAACCTCCCTAGCTATGTTTTCCAACATTTTTCTACTAGGATTGCTTTCTATTTGATACTTCTGATAGAGATAATCCAGCTGTTCGGGAAGGATAGTGGTTCTCAACCTCTTGTCTCTAGGTTGTTCATTTGTATCTTTTGCTTCATCATCTTCTGGGAGCTTGCGTTTCACTGGTGGAACCATAGTTTGTTGAGTTTCAAATTGGAATATACTAGAACTTGTAGAATAGTTTGGAAAGAGATTTGGGTTCATGATGTGCACAAGCTGATGTTCCCTCCATAAATCAAATCTTGGAAAAGCAAGACTACACTTGTCACAACGGTAAGAACCATTCTGACTTACCTTACTCTGATCCGGCACACAAGAAGGAGTTTGATTCGAACAGGACATTGAATGACGATTAGGGTCTTCTGTCACAGTAGTAGTAGTTTTATTTATTTGAGCTGCCAAAGGATTTTCGTCTTTGAAGCAAGATCCTTTTTGATGCTTGATAAGTTCATAATATCGCTGGAAAACTTGCAAGCACTTCTTACATTGATAATTTAGCCCAGGTGTGCGTTGAAATCTACCAGCTGCATCTTCTTCAGATGTAACAGGTGGCTGATTTTCGTAGACCTTTCTAGCTTTTTGTCTAGCATTTTGAAACCATACTACTATGACTCTTGGGCTTAAGCTCAATAGTTTGGAAAGATACTCAAGACTATCATCTTTTGGATAAGCATTGGTTTCAAAAAACTCTTGAAGTACTTTAATTTGGTAATCTGTAAATCGTGTTCTGTTTGCCCGTTTTCCAGATCCTACGGAACGACCAGGCGAAAGTCCATGAGGAGAGGTTTGCCTGTGGTTGTCAGTTCTAGGTATAGTAAGAACATCAGGAGATGTTGGCGTAGTTGGACTTGATGTAACGGCTGGTGAAAATGATGAATTTGTAACACTGTCTTTGGATGTTTGAAGCAAGTCTTTAAAACTGGTATTTCCATGTTGAGAATCACACCTATCAGATAGATTACTGGCTTCCATGCTTGAATCAACTGTCTTTAAAGGAGTGTTATGTAGAAATGTTTCACAAGCAGACCAAGTTGGGTCGAAAGTCTTTTCATTTGACTCTGACGACTTTGGAGTTTCCGGAAGTGATTCTGCAGAATTTGGTTTTATATCAGTGGACAGTTTTAATTCACTTAATTCATTATCTTGGCCTTGTTTTTTCGTGTCATGCTTTACTTCCTCCACACTTAAGTAATTGTGTTTAGTTTTATCATTGTTGCTAAATCTTTGATTGACTTCTTGAGCAACTACTGGCTTAGCTTCACCAGTTTTCTCATACTCCTCCATATTAAGATATGTAGATGGTGGATTATTAAAGTTATATGGAGAATCTTTGTTGCGCTGACGTTCTTTGAACAAAGTATTTCGAAACCAGTGCTTGATTACTTTTAAAGGGAGTCCAGATTTTACTGACATTTCTTTTAGCTGCTCTTCTGATGGGGAACTGTTGATATCGAAATATGCTCTAAGAATTCTAAGTTGATCATCGCTAATTCGTGTTCTGGCACGTTTTTGTTGTGCTTGCAAATACTGCTGCTGTTGTTCTTGAAGGAGTTTGTGTTGGGCGTTTACGATACTGGGATCAAACCCACCCCCCATCATTTGGTGATTAAAAGCAGAGGCCATTAGCGATTCAACAGGAGGAGGCATCATCATTGGAATGAGAGACGGGTGAATGTTCATTGGAATCGGCATTCCCATTCCCACTGGCATACTCATCCCAAAGCCCATGCTCATAAGTAAGTGGTTGAACTGCATTTGAGCAGCCATTTGGTTTGCAGCAAAGTTTGATGAATCTACCACTTGCTGAGTTGCAAGGGGTGCCACAGGAGACATTGATGGAATATTCATGGCAGTTTGATTTATTCCATTTAAAACACTCTGGCCTTGTGTGCTGTAATCAGGAGTAGAAATAGGTGTTGACGCTGTATCAGAGTTACTCGCTAATTCGTCAGCTTGCACTTGGTTATTTATACCATTTCTTTTCTCATAATCTATCCTATATTCCTGTGAAAATTTTTCCAGTATGCTAAATGGCACGATTTCTCTGTGATATTCTTCTTTATGAGCTTTCAGAACCCAAATACTGGAAAATTCTTTTTGACAAAGATTACATGTCGACTTATTGATTTCAGGCAAGTATTTATGTTTTGCTTCGAAATTATTTTGTTTTATTTCATTAGGTAAGATACTCTTAGACGTAGTTTCATTTTCCTTGTTTTCTGAAATTTCCTTTTCTGTATCTGTCTTCACCTTGCGTTGATTGAACTCGTTGAACTGCATGACAATTTCAAAGCCATAGCTTTCAAGTAGGTGTTTATACATTGGCGGTTTTGGGCGAGGATAAGGACACTTTGCCATGAGTATCTGAGATGTTACCTGCTCATTAGACTTTGGTGTTTCTGCTGGATTATGTCGTTCTTGAGAAGCAGAAAGGTCTGATTTGATCACGTTAAATTCTTTTTTATTTGAAATGCTTACATTTACATCTTGAGATTGGGTAACTGGAGAAACAGGTGGTAATTGAGCCAAACCTGAATATCCAAAAGAATTTAACCCAGAAGTTACTGGTCCATTAATACCTCCAAACAAAGAAGCTGTAGGTGGGGAGAAAAATCCACAGATTTGTTGATGTTGAAACAAAGCATCCTGCGAAGATAACGGTACATTACAACGTGAACAAATATAAGGTGACTGAGAAGATACTTGTGATGGGGTAAAGTTTGATGTTTGTGCAAAGTGAGAAGCCAAATTAAGAGTTTGTGTAACTGACGGGGTACTGTGAGAAACTTGAAAAGGTAGCTGTGAGGAGGCACTAGGACTTGAGATTGTGTCAGTACTAGGTAGAGATGTTGAAGGAATCTGACCGAAGCCGGCTAAAGTGCATGGCTGAGGTAATGAAGGTACGAATTCTGCACTTGTGGTAGTTATTCCAGACATTCCAGCTTCATGATTATTTTGATTTGATTCCTGCGCTTGAATGAGTTCCGGCTTCTCGATTAAGGGAAGGTTAAGGTCGACTTGTCCTGTCATAGCTAATTCATGCAATTTCGACGCTTTAGTCTGATGTAAAACAGATCGTATGTGTATATCTAGGGTTGAGTTCTGGTTATAAGCAACCTTACATATGTTACATTTATATGGTTTCTTTTCAGAATCAGTCGTGTTACTGATTGGGCTTGAACATCTATTACTACTACTGACAACCGTAACAGGTGTGGTCGAGTTGGATAATGCGGTTGTGGTAGAAACTGAACTATTATCTTTCATACTTTGCTTTAACTTGTGTAGATGAGACACAGAGTTGTAGTGCACGAGAAGAATATTTTTCTGTGTGAAAGACTCCTTACACACCTCACATTTATATGGCCTATTAGGATCCAGGTATTTTTCCATAGGATAGCTCATTTTCTCTCCTTTCCTGTGAAGCAAAGTTTTGTTATGACTAGTAAGGTAACTTTGTCTTGTGAACGCAACTTTACATCTATGACATTTATACTTTCTGCTAGGGTCATTATAACTATTTTCAGCCATTGCTTGGTTATTCATATAATCTTCGAAAGTCATTTGTTCTTTTGAACTTGGTTCACCAAGAACCCCAGCTTGTTCATTAACATCTATAGTATCAGTTTCTTCTACAGGCTCGAGAGTTACTTTCATCTCTTCACTTTCTTCATCACTCTCTCTGTTGCTTTCTTTCTTTAACAACTCTGTTGTCTGAGGATCTAAAACTCGATTCCCTGAACTAGTCAACAATGGATTATTCACAAGACTAGCCTCATACTGTTGAATTTCTTCTTTAGTCATGTTTGTATGAGATGCTTCCACATGTTTCTGGAGAGCCCACACTGATCGAAAACTTCGTCCGCATAAAACGCATTGTGAAGCTGCACGAATTACATGGTACTGCGAATGTAACTGAAGTTTTTCTAACGTTTTAAATGCAAGGCTACATTGGCTACATCGATATTTATACACATGGCGATCTGACACAGCTAGTTGAGGTTTCTTTATGTGAACTTCTTTGAAATGCATTTGAACAGCTTGGGGAATTCGAAAAAATTGGTTACATCCTTTCTTCCAACAAATATATCCCGCACCATGTGGTGTTTGTTTTATTTCTAAGTGCCCACTTTCATTCTGATGAACAAACAACTCGTCTACGCTGTTAAATGACTTCAGACAAACAGAACATTCAAGATTATCTGAAATGACGTCGCAGTTGTTAAAACTTTCTCTGTTTTCGCTATCATCGGTAGTGTTGGTTTTAGAATCAGGTAAAGACTCTTCCCTTTTTTCTGGCATTTTAGAATTGCATTTAGGACTCTCTCCACTAGACTTATCCACAATCATCAGCAACCTTTCCAGTCCTTCACGACTGACCTTATGAGATTCCATTAAGTGTTTTTCCAATTTGGATAGTTCGTGATAACTATCCTGACACAATGGACACTGTAGGCTTGGTTTCTGTGAATGTTGTGCAACGACATGCATCTGAATGAGAACATCGCTTGTGTTAGTGTAATTACAAAAAGGACAAGTGAACACGTGATCTTGATGTTCATCTGGAGTTCCTCCATTCTTGTGGTAATCTGTAAGGGCTTGTTTTAACCTGGATTCTTCATTTTTGCCGTCACCCTTTGCGCTTGTATTTGGACCTCCACTTTCATGATCTTTGCTTTCTGCTGCTTCTTTTGGTTGTGGCCCTTTAGAATAAAAGTATGATAAAGAGATGAATTTATTATATTCCGAACAAAGAGTATAGGTGTCTCACAAGATCCCTTACATGAGTACATACAACTGAGATACTAGAAGTACGAGCATAATAAAACTTTACGCCAGAATAACATAGGCTATCTGTTACAACAAGTATGAGTAAAGATAAACTCGGGATCACTAGAGTAACTACAATTTTAAATGACGACATATAACATCGAGTTTATTGAAAAAAGAACAAATGCAAACAACATTTCCTTGAAGTCTCATAAGAAAATGCGGACTTAACTTCGGCGAAACGTTGTGTGTATTTTTTCCTTTTTCAATAAACTCGAAGTAATATGTCATTTAAAAGTTAACTCAGCATTGTCGGGTGAAACTTCAGCGAAACGTTGTGTTTAATCCTTCATTTTTTCAACAAACTCGATGTTATATGTCATTTAAAAGTTAAGTCAGCATTGTCAGGTGAAACTTCAGCGAAACGTTGTGTGTACTCCTTCATTTTTTCAATAAACTCGATGTTAGATGCCGTTTATAATTGTAATTATGCTAGTAGAAGGACAGACAATAATGACTATCTATAGAACTAGAAACGACAAATTTTTATGCATGCTATTAAAAGCAATCCTTTTTCACAGGTAATACCATAAATATTTCAACCTCACTACAAGTTCATAACAGGCCTCACAAGGATGCTAAAGCTTATTATGAAACACAGAAAAAATGCATGTAGAAGTTTACTAGGAATACTTGTATGTTCTTTTTATTTTTAATATATAATAAATTGTGTAGAAAAATATGTAATTGACTTTCGGTATAGCTGACGGAATGATAAAAAACTTTAAAAAACACGTATCTGATTAACAATTTTTAACATCCCGAAGAATAAAATTATTTAGGAAAACGCAGTCGGTTAAAACATACACTACAAGATTCAAACTCATTTCAAAGATTTTATTTTACGCGAAGAACATATTGTTTTAGTTTTGTTTATCAGTTTGACTGTACATCATGTGACATTATTCTAGATAAATCTTTCAACTTACACACGCAAGGTAGGTATTATTTAGATAGAAGATGGTAGCGAAACATTTCTTTATTTAGAGCATTATTGGGTAACGATTCTTAGAATGACAGAAAAATAAGAAGCAAAAACACATTTATGATAAATCATATAACGTTTTTGTGATATATTTATGTATACAGTAAATAATAAAATTAAGCATACTAACGTTCAGTAAAACTAGTACACAATTTATGTGATCAAACTATTTAAAAACAAACATCACAAAATTAGTAAAAATCTGTTCAAGGTTTTTATAGGAATGAATTATTAAGTATGCCCCAAATAAGGAAAAATTCGCGCCTGTTTTTAATGATGTCTGTTTAGATTGTTCTTGTACTTTGTCTTTGATATAAAAAACAACAACAGCAGACTCCAACATGGGAAGGAAATTCTTCTTTAACTAACACACAGTCTACGAGTCATGGAGACAAGTTTGGTGAGTTAATTTCCAAACAAAGCTTTCCAGTACTATTTATCTTCCAATTGCACAGTGGTAAGTCTGACGGCTTAAAATGCTGAAAGTTGGGTTTCGATACTCCTGGTGGGTACATCACAGACAGCCTATTGTGTAGCTTTGCGCTTAACTACAAATAAATAAATAAACCTGTACTATTTTTTATATAAATTCTAAATAGAGATTTGAACTCCTTACGATATCTAAAATCTCAAATGCCCATCATCGCGGCCGAATTCATAGGAATTTTCAGGCTTTGAGGAATTGAAACCTATAACCTAATCCAAAAACAAAACAAAACCCGCACATGTTAAGCAATACAAAATTGAGTTCCCTATAAAGCCATTTCCTTCACGGTTTTCACAAGTTCTATCGATATAGATGGACGCGGAAGGCTCAACTAAGCTTATTTTCTGCTGTAAGGTGGCTAAGCGTGGTACCTGTCTGAGTAGAAATACTTCTAAGTGTAGTATCTGTCTGAGTAGAAATACTTCTAAGTGTGGTACCTGTCTGAGTAAAAACACTTCTAAGTGTGGTACTTGTCTGAATAGAAACACCTCTACTATTTTGTACAAGAAGATCACAATCTAGCCAACTCCCTAAACTCCGCATATTTGTGGTCCAACACTAATAATAGGTGAATTATTTTGGCAATAAAGTGTGAATTGTTTTGTTTTGTTTTTTGTTCATACTTGAATATCGGAAACTGTGACATCTCTCTGTATCCCACCCAATCCCTCGAATTCGGTGTCATTGATTCTCAGACTGGGTGTTAAGATGGAAAAAATAATAAAGCGACACTTCGACTTCAACTCACCAAGAGTTGTTGTGTTTTAGTTTTGTTAGAAGACTTTTGTAGCCGTAACGTAATCTTTTATATATTAAGCAAGTAATTTTCATGTTGGAATCAGCCCCGTTCTATCAAATATATAATACGAGAGTTTACCCAGAAGCATTCGTTGTCGAAATCGTTGCTGACATAAAAAATAAACACTAAAAATTAAATTACATGTTTAAATTACATGTATTAGAATATCATACGTTAAATCAAACTATTTCTAATTTCAGTGTAAGATCATTGATTACATTTTTCTCACGTGCGTTTCATTCAGAAATTCAAAACGTTTGAAATATAATCCTAAGGTGAATTAATGAGGAAATCTTATCTCAACAGTATACTTATGTTTCAGGTTATTTTCAACTTGTGACTAATCATGTGACTTGCGCATGTCTTCTTTCTCAATACTTATGCACCAACAAAATGAACAATGGCATCGTGATGTATCTGGTATGTTAAGTCGGTAGAACAGGGTACATTATAAGTTACGTTAAAATAAGAAACAATTCAACAGTCTTTGAAACACACCCTACGCAAAACAGGTTCATTTTTGAATGGGCTCCCAAGGCAGGAGTAACCTAGCATTCGTGTGTTCTTAACCATTTTAATAGGTTTCGAACGGCCAAGACAACAAATAAGTTTATCAATTTGTATTCTGAATTTGTGCTAAACGTGAATAACATATTCCGTTTGGAGAAGTAAAAATATTAGCAAAATATTTTTTTTAACCTTCAAACAATGATAGTAGAAAAATATAAGTAATTTTGCCAGTACATGGCAATGTCAACTTTGCTAGAACTGGTCATGATGGACCTTTGTATTAGGCTTAAATGTTATTGTTTTATTTTAATTCATGAAAACTTAGAAATAATGTCTCGCCTGACACATTTTACTTCGTAGCCAAACATGATCTTAAAGACTTTAAAAAATTAGTTGTTTATTCATACGTGTCAGCGAACAATTGAAACGTTTTTGGACTGAGAAAGTTAAGAGAAAACAGTTTTATTAAATATGATGCTATTACCATATGGAATAATTATGTTCATGGCATTCTAGGTCTTTAATATAAAGAAATATTATAACGTGGCAAATATCTTTCTGTCTTCATCTTTTTTTTTTGTTTGTTTTATACAAAAATCTACCATGAAAACAATATATACATTGTTCATCATGGAGAGGAGAGGCAAAAAAAAAGAACAGTTAATTCTTTATTGTGCAGTCAAATCTGCAATCTGCATGAACACCAGGTGGTGTAAAAGTTTTAAAGAAATATTTACTGAAAACGTAACAAATCCTTTATCCCATGTTACATACTACCAATTGATATTAAACATAATATCTGAATGTACATATATATATATATATATTACGTAAAATATCTGTTTACAGAATACTGCAACATAACAAAAGCGTATAAAAATTATAATATTTATATATGTATGTATATATTCTTTGATCTAATGCTTCTGTTTATCCGTTTCATGTAATTAAATTGCATACAAAGAAATCAGTCTAGTTATGAAGCAGTTGTAAGCTGTGTTAATCCAAATGAGATAAGGTAAAATAATATTTTAAAACATTTTACATATATTATTTAATGCTTAAAACATTGATAAAAATATATTCAAAAATAAGCAAAATAGAATGTGACCTCGTGCTAGCTAGAATGTAACTCAAAAATTCGTTTACTTTTGTCAATGTGACGATGATAATATTGGCAATTTTTAGCTACAATAGAACGATTACTAGACAATTTCTACGAGACTGTAATATACTTTAGATACTATACTTATACTGCCTTAAAATATGGACTCTCTTCTTTCCAGCTACTATCCTCTATAGGTGCAATCCCCTTACCCTTCTAAGTCTATATAAAATTGAATAGGAACCAGAGAAAGTGGTAATATCATATATTTAGTCTGTACATTGCTTTAGCCATAATATGTGTTAAATTCAACATTCAACATTTGGGGACTGATTGCTAAAACAATGCATTTTAATTATCAGCATACAATTGTCTGATCTTTTGTTATCTAAGTTAAATTAACTTAACTATATATTAAAAGCAGTGTCCCTCTGAGGGTATTGACACACAAATCATTATATAAAAACTGTATTACCTTTAAAACCCTCATACTTATATTACGGGACAGTTTCGGCTTTATGGCCCGGCATGGCCAGATGGTTAGGGCGCTTGACTAGCAATTTGAGGGTCGCTGGTTTGAATCCCCGTCCCATTAAACATGCTCGCCCTTTCAGCCGTGAGGGCGTTATAATGTGACGGTCAATCCCACTATTCGTTGGTAAAAGATTATCCCAAGATTTGGCGGTGGGTGGTGATGACTAGCTACCTTACTTGTAGTCTTTCACTGCTAAATTATGGACGGTTAGAGCAGATAGCCCTAGTGCAGCTTTTCGCGAAATTCAAAACACACCAAACCAGTTTCGGCTTTAAGCCGATATCAGATGACACAACATCAAATTGGTGTAAATTTTTTATCTTATAGAATTTGTATGAAATAACTGTATCATTTCTATGACTACAAAGAAACCTGTATAAAAGTCAACTCCAGAGAATAAATCTCCTTGATCCTAATTTCCCAGTTTCGAATCCTGCAATATCACGTTACACTACAAGCAATCTTTACCAGGACTGTTATACCAGTTATAGCATTAGTTTCAAAAATATTATATCATATTGTAGAATGGAACAAAAAAAATCAGCTAATTTTTGTTCTACTTTAATAGTATTGTTCCAGAAAACTTCTGCAAGAATTATGAAAACGTTCTGTTCTTACAAACCAAACTATTTTATTTATTACTTTATGACAAGTTAAAATGTAAACATTAATTTACCACTTGTTAAACGATAATGCAACAGTGTGGTCGAAATAATATGAAGTTCTTAAGTCCATAATATAGAGCCAGTAAATAAGAATTTGTACTTTGTATCTGATTGTATTAAAACCTAAGTTTCATTTAAACTCCACACAGTACACAACCTTCAAGTATTTCTTTCAAAAATAACAAAATAATGATACTAAAGACGCTAATATTTCAAGTTATTTAAAATAATGGACAATAACAAGTTCTTTCTAAAAATGCAAATTATTTACACGTTAATCGTTCAAGATTAGAAATAACACAGTTGAATGACAGTTGAGGAAAATTCTGTAGATACTATGAATGGATATACGAACGTGAGCGTAACCTTGTCTAACAAAATTAAAACAACGTCAAAAGCTTGTCTTTATATCGCATCTATCCAGTCAATATTAAAAAAGAAAAAACAATGCATTGCTTTATTTTGGATATACCATATAGAAGGCTATTCAATCCTAAGTCAAACTTTGATAAAAATCACGCAATGTCATAAAAAGCAAACTACTAAGATAAACGAATGAAACAACACGTTATAATATGGCATACAAGAGCTTAGTTTCTTTAGAAAATTTAAGTAAAGAATAGCTGAAGAAAAACGTTCATTACAGGAATTATTATGTAAGGCCTACTTACAATTTATTACTGATTTTCATAAGATTTGATTTGAGGTAAAACATTTCAGGTTGCCTCTGTTCCAAAAGTGGAATAAGAAAGCCACAGAAAAAAATATAAACATATATCATAGCTTTATACATTTGTTATTTGACTGTGGGCCTATTTGTATATAATACTGAAACACATAAGAAAAATATATTCATAATATAACAATTCTTGAAACTTTCATATTTTAGACGGATTGATTTGTGGAATTATACCATAAATACTAGTAACTGTAAAGGCGACATATTAGATAAAGTTTGAATGGTTTGAAAAGTTATCAAGTTGGCTGCAGTTGCTCTAATGTCTAGGATAAATTAAAACATTTATTCCATATTCCACACTTGACGATTACAACTGAAAGACTAAAGAACAAATTTTGTTGAAAGTCTATTAAACTCTCATAAGTGAAGTGATTAAACGTTTATCGTCATTCAGAGTTCAGTAACAGCAATTATTTACTAAATTCCTAATTTGGGAGATTTCAATAAAATACCCTTATTATTCATTGTTAAGTAGGATAGGTTCTAGTTCGAAGTGAACTGTTTACTTAGCAGTTAAGCAGAAGTTATTTGTTTCCGATCTAATGAACAGCGTATGCAAAAAGGTTACCATCAGTGTTACTAAACTATTAAATACAAAATATATGGATAACAATAAAATATATGAAACATGTCCTTTAATGTTCAGTGGGTTATTTTAAATAGAATTTGACATTTAGATTTTATTTCGACGAAAGTAATTATGAATATATATATATATATATATATATATATATAAAGTAAGTGAACATTTTATTTGTTGTTAAGCACAAAGGTACACAATGGGCTATCCGTGCTGTGCCACCACGGGTATCGAAATCCGATTTTTAGCGTTATAAACCTTCGGACTTATCACTAAGCCGTTAGGGAGCAAAGTGAAAAGTAAATGAAAAAAACAATAACCAGTTTCGGTGTTGATATAACAAAATACATCATGGAGGATATGTTGTACTTGAAGAACGTTAAATAATATTGTTCATATGTGTAGGTAATAAGGAACGACTCAGATCATATTGTATTCATATTTTATGATAAATACCGAATATTTTACAAATCTTTCAACATACTAGAAGAATACGTGTGGAAATGTAAACAGGTAATGTCTTCGATTACATTTTCAATGTAACAGAAAAATAAAGCTCTTTGAAACTTTTACTTTTAGAATAGATATGATGTCAACTATAAGTATAAACAAACTGCCTTAGTCGACATAATGTGGCTAAATAAACGATTCAATAAAATACATAGGTTTACAGCTTAAAGCATTACATACAAAAAACAATCAATTAAAGTTCGATTTACCAATTGGTAGACAGTGTATTTGCATAAGTTGTTTAAACTATTATTAAACTCTATTATTATTATTATTATAGTATTTAATGAATAATAGCTCAATAGGCAACTACCTGATTGACAATTATTGGTCTCTCTGTCACTCCCCCTGCAATTTTTGACAGTGTAGATCTCTCTAAAGTCATCCTCTGTTTCCTGGCCTTCTAGTTTCTTCTGCATCTGACGGAGGTTTTCAGTCCGCAAGTGTTCTATTGAATGAACATGTTGAACAAGTCTGACTTTAGTGTTTGTTGAAACGTTGCACAGAGCACAATGATAAAATGTTGTCTCAGTGTCTACAGTATCTTCATTCACCTGCAAATGCAAAAACAATTTAGCACTGATCTCATGCCTTGGGTTTGTAGTATGGAGCTGTAACTTGTGTATGCTGTTGGTGTAGTAATCACAAACATTGCATCTCACATGAATGGAATTACTGGTGTTTGAGTATTTTAGTTTCCACTCATTCCTTGGTCCTCCTTCCTTTATATGATTGACATGTTGAAGTCGTTGGAAATGTTTGTCTGTCTTGCAATGGAGTTGGAAATTGGCTTTCAAATTAGTTTTATAGGTGCACAGTTTACATATATAATTGCCTGCAACAACGGCGATTTCATCTTCTCGTTCCTGTGTTCTATCGAGCTGGAAGTGCTGGTTTAAATGTTCTATACTGTCTGTAGAGAAACAACTACACACACAGCAGAAGAATAAAGCAGAATCATCTTGAGGAATATCTTGTCCTAAAATTGGATCGGCATTCTCCATGTCTACAGTTGATGAACATGGAAAGTGAAAAGGAGAGGGATGGAAAGGGTTCTTTCCTGAAGTAGACGCGGCCGCCATTAACCTCTGTTGCTGCTGCTGTTGGCTCGCCATCACCAAAAGGGCTTGATTATAGTACAAGTCTGCAAGAGCCGCTTCTGGCTGGAGTTGGGAGTCTGGAGGAAACAAAAAACCTGAGTGGAACTGACTGAACATTGGATCCATCACCTGTGCTTGCTGAAACGCTGACAGCTGTTGCATGTGCTTAACATTTTGTTGTACAACCATCATATTGTGTGTATGCTTTTCACTTGTCATATGAATACGGAGATTACGAGCCACATTGGTCTCATAATTACAAACATCGCAGCGCCACGTAGCCTTTGGTTTGGTTGAAAGTATCCCACTTTTCGCAGGTTCGGAAACATGTGTGTTGCTTACATTCTGTGGCGCTAGAATGTGTTCAGTTGGCAGATTCCCATTCTGAAGTTCTTGAACATTGTTGATGTGTTTGTCGGAATGCATGTGAATGCTCAAGTTGCCTTTTGTAACAGTAGAATAATTACAAATTTCACATCTATAAGGTTTGTATCCACAGTTGTATGTTTCACCACGCGCTAGTTTAGGATGTTTCTGATTGGTTATACAGTAAACACAAGAAGTCTCATTCTCTGGATGCTTTTCCTTCATGTGTATCTCTAAGGTTTCTTGGTATTTATAATGCCAGTTGCATTTTGGGCACTTTAATGTTTTGCAAGAGTTTCTGGAGTGCATCATTGCCATGTGTCCACCTAAAGCAGGAGAGGAACCTAGAACCGTGTCACACTTGGAACATTCAGGATTTCTCCTGTCTAAGTGATGTGGACAGATATTAAATCCCGTACTTGTTGAGGGAGCTGGAGAAAGGCTACTTGAAAAAAAGAGACCAGGAGATGTTGAAGCTTTCGGAGATACAGAAGATTCGGAGTAAATACTACCACCACTTTCGCAGCTTTTGGGTCTCTCTATTGATAAAATACCACTACCCAGGGCAGAAGAAACAGGAAATTTCATTGGTCCTTCCCGATTTAGAGATTCAGAATTTTTTGGCATCGAATTAGTGAAATCAGCCTGTTTACAATCACCAGTTGATTCCGTTGAAGTAGCTTCAGCTGCGGCAGCTGCTGCTTTAGCCAACTTCTCAATGGTAGCCAAGTCTTCTAATTCTGGAGCAATTGCTTCGCTGCTGGTGCAATCAGTAACATTTTCCCGAACCTCATTGTGTTTCTGATTTTCAATTAGTGATGTCTTGATATCCCTGACTGATGCCACTGGATTCAAATTTGCTGACACTAATGTTGTGACAGCCGATGTAGTTGATGTTACAGCTGTTGTACCCGCAGCTGAAGGAACAGAACTAGCCATAACGGTACTAGCAACATTAAGACAAGAATTATTCACCAGAGAGTGTGTAAAAGAACTACAAGTACTTTGCACACTTTGGGCGAATACACATTCATTGACCTGAACAGGGGTGTCGGTAGCTGGTTCTAAAAATGAAAGAAGTGGTTCTTTTTCTTTCCCAACTCCTTGAATAATGGCAGAAATATTCTTCTGTGATAAAAGATTGTTTTCTTCTTCAAGAAGATTGATACCGTGTTCTCCGACAGCGTGAGCAACAAATGATTTGGCATAACCAAAAGACAACTTACACATAAAACACATAAGAATGGGTTTAATTGGTACAGAGGAGTATTCATAAGAACATCGAGGTTTGTCGCCACTACTAGACCTTTTATTAGGCGCAGTAACATTAGTTTTTCTATCGTCTTTATTATGAACACTTGATTTTTTTTGGCGCACATTGAACACTTTATAACTGTGCACAATAGGAATTTCAGGAACTTTTTTCTTTTCTTGAAGGAGGTTGAATGCTTGCCCATAGAGGGCACTATACAAAGTAGAGTTTCTATAGATGTGAAAGGCATTCACGATTTCAGGAAATATTCTATACTGTGTAGATGTCATCCCTTGTCCATCTACGATACTGCCTTCTTGCTGAGGTAGATCCAGACTGCATTCTTCATCACTCAGCTCCGATTCTCCTTCGATTATGTACGCAGAGCCATCTGGATTATATAAGATTTTCCCAGTGAAAGTCTCTACGTCACTGTCAGATAGCTCACTATCAACGCTACTCTTTCTCTCTCCCTGTCCTGTGAGGATTTCACGCGTAGTAGTACTAGTTGTTTGTTGATCACATCTTTGGGTTAAATCCAGCTGTTCGTCTGCCTGATTGCTTCTCTTACTAACGTCGGTCTTCCCAGCTGTAAATGATAGCCCCTCAATTTTTTTCTGGTCTAAAGGATCTGGTGTATCATCTTGAGGCGTCATATCTATCTTTCTACTCGACAATGGTGGACTTGGTAATGAACTGACGTACGTTTCTTTGCGTGTTTTATTCGCGATAGTTTTGTTTTCAATAAAACACGCAGGCCTTACTACTTTCGCAGTTGAAGGGTCGAACTTACTGCTCATAGGTGAGGCTCGTAGCTCATGTTTCCCAGCAGACTGCTGCCCTGTGTCCATACCCTCGACTGTTGCATCAAGTTCCATTGTTTTGTACTTCTTAGGTCATGATGTAGCTGGTTTTGTCCATCTAAAAATAAACAATAGTATATTAAACGAGCTTCATTCAGTAGGTATTCCGACGCGTCTAAGAATACAATAAAAAACACCCATGTTTAGAGTCTACGCATCTACGTTTAGAATGTACGTGTAATATGTATTCAAAGAAAATTAGGTACGAACCAACAAAGATTTTATTAATGCAAACAATTTTAAATGTAACGTTTGCACAGTGGTAACTCGACAAAATACAAAAATACACTGAGTGGTCACAAGTAAATAGACACCTAATTTTTCGTCATTTAACTGATTTATGCTAACTAATTTGTGTTCACAGAGCACTATATAAATGAAAATGGTTCGCACACTAATTATCTTGTGCTACAATATGCCTAGAACTCAAGGTTCTCTCGAAGTGTCAGATTTT